TTGACAATCACCTTGCTGGGGGCATTTGACCCCAGGACTCTTTCCTGCCATGGCAGGGGGTCGGACTTAATGATCTGCTCAGGCCCCTTCCGACCCTACAACTATGAAACTATGTAACCTGCTTCCCTCCCAAAAGAAAGTTTTGTCTTTAAAATGCGCATACTGTAAACATGCAAATATAACCCTTTTATATTTTAGACAATATTTAAGCAATTGTATTTTATTTTTATATTCAGATAATTATGGCTGAAATTTTAGTTAATTCTACTTTCAGTTCTGCATTTTCATGGAATTAATAAAAGCAATGCAATACCTTTTGCTTAGATCCCAGCTGAATTTCCTTTCTTGGTTCTCAATGTACACTGAAGATAAAGGCAACTGAGCCAAGATTCTCTCCTTCCCCTCTTGTTCAGCATTTTCCTTTAGAACTACAGTTACAGTTTCATCATCATAAAAATGGGCATCTAAACAACTGTAGAACCTATAAAAAAAACTGATGTTGTGTTTAATTGTATTCCATCATGCCTTACAAAAAGTATAAATAGCTTTTTACCGTATTTACAGTTGGTGGCAGCAGGAGAGGTGGCAGCTGGATTGAAAGTAACATCCTGCCTTTAGAGTAAGCTGCCCTAATTTAACTCTCAAAAGTTTGCTGACTCCTGTTGCAGAATGTTCATTACATTTAATACTCTTTAATATACTTTAATATACAAAGATTTAGAGTTGGCTAGCCTATTGTTTAGTCAGCAATGTAATAGGCAGGTACAAAGCTTGTCCCTTCCTCCAAAAGGGCAGGAAACGCTTGAAGTTGCTAAAAGAGACATTGGTTGGTGGGCTCTGACAGCCACCATTATTATCCCTTCTTTGCTAGAAGGGTAAGTTGACCTGACATAGCTTTTCTGAGGGAAAAAAAGGATGGTCCTGGGTTGGAGCCCTCCATCAAAGTTTCTGTGCTGAATAAATTACTGTATTTTCCTGAATCCGAGAAGACTTTGAATTTAAAATAATCCCTCAATAGATTCTAGACTTAGAAAAGTATAAACTAGTTATAATTTTCCATGCCTAGAATCTAATTTTTGGAGGGTTGTCTGAAACATGTCCCGTCCCTGCCCTTTACCCACATTTCTGCTGCAGTGGAGAGGCAGGCAACATGGCGGGCAAGCATCCTTCCCCTTCCCTCTCTCCTCCCCCCTACCTGCTTCCCCACTTGCCCCACCACACTTCCACTGTTGTCCCTGGCTTATCTAGACACAGGGAAAGCCCCTGAGCTCCTCATGCCCTGCACTGCATGAAGCACCTGTATAGGGAGCCCAGCTCAGCTGGGGACAACAGGGTCAACACACACACATTATTACTTCCAGCTCCTGCTCCTGGCCCAGCTCCCTTCCTGACTCTGTGTGTCCCCCCTGCTGAGGGGAGCAGGGACTGGAAGGAGGAACATGTGCGACAATGCTGCAGTCCTCTGCTGAAGAAGGCATGGAGGGAGCCACAAGGCCACTCCTGCCCTGCACTGCATGGAGCAACTGTGCAGGGAGCCCAGCTTCAGGGAGCAGAAGTGGCTCTGGGGCTCCCCCCATGGCCAAATCAGCTGGGAGTTGGACTACTGTAGCTGGGAGCTGGGAGAACTGGTTGTACAGGGAGCCCAGCTGACCTGGGGACTGAAACAGTAACACGCAGATTCCTGCTTCCAATATCTGTTCTCTGCCAGTAAGTGAGTTGGGAGAGGAGCCAGAAGGGGAGCAGACACTGGAAGGAAGAACCTGAGTGCCACTGACACTGCCCCATGAACAGGCAGCTCCCCGGTTGGAGCCATCTGATACCTGATTCAAATATGAGGGCTGGTTTTCCTTATGTTGAATGGGGAAATAACTTGGTCTTGGAATTAAGTAAATACAGTATCATTGTCACCAGCATCACTACAAAATTCTGCAGTGCATTAGTAGACGATAAGATCTCATTTTGGCTTATTGTTTAAGTGTTCCATGCTTAGGCAAAAGCAGTTTCATTACGTTTCTATCTTGATAACTATAATAATTTCTTTAAGTACAAAATAACTCCATTCACTCTTGCAAGTTACTGCATGTAGGTGAAGCCCAGCAAAAAGATCTTCACTGACTTAATGGGATTGCAACTAAGAGAGGATCCCAAAGGCAACTTGCAGGATCAGAGGCAAAGTATAAATATGAAAAAAGAGCTATTAACAAGTAGAATAAACAAGACTTAAAAGAACCCGGGTGCAAGTTAACAAAGCTGCTACTTTCCAGACATACTAACCTTGATTCTGAGCTTTCATTTATACTGTTGTTCAAGAAGTTTCCAAACTCCACAGCAAGTAGCCCATTGTTAACAGACCTAAAGGGAAGAGGGGGGAAAAAACCTCATCTATGTGAATAGTTCCTAAAAACTCATACTAACATACTGGAAATTCAAAAACTTAAAGTGGCTGCTGGAAGAGACTATGCAGCCTGTTTAGATTTAGACAGAGAATCAGTGCATAAGGTACATCCAGTATTAAAGGAAATGGGTGCGGTGTGCAAGGGGAAGAAGCAAAGGACAGAGCCTCAGACAAACTTATACTAAAGGGCTTCACCTCAAAAACATAACTGATCTTACAAAACAATAATTCCTCTCTTACACCCCAACCTCAAATACTCTGAACCAAGCTCTGTTAGACTATGTATTTTCTCTTCGTAAATCAGCTGCTGAACAGGATTAGTAAAGCCTTACCATTTACCCAACAGCTCTAATGGAGTTGGGGTTGATCTTGGCAACATGAGAAAAAAGGACCAAAATTACAAAGTTATGCTGGAATCTTGGCATTTACTCTAAGGAATGAATAAGCATAATTTTATTAGTATAAATGAGTTCCTTTTTCAATGTGCTGAGTTCTATAACAATCATGAAAAGCCTTAACAATAATCACAAGCTACCTGGGGTTCACAAAACGAATACTTACTAAGGAAGATAAACCTATGCAATGGTTACCATTGTTGCTTATTGATGTGAAGGGGCAGCATATATTTAGCCATTTCCTTATCAAAGGAACCATTTCTTTATCATGACTGCAGTGCTGGTGAACTAGAACTCCTAATGGTACTAAGAACCCTCTCATCTTGCTCTTGTGGCCAGGATCAAATTGATTACCAGATTTGGGATCAGGATGGAATTTTCTGGCAGGTCAGGTCAGACTGGCAAAGATCACTCATGTGTTTCTGCCTTCTTTTGTAGCATGGGGAAGGTCCGCTTCCTAGCATCATTTGAACTTATTTTACATAACTCTTTCCATTCCAGTGAACTAGACATGAGAAACACCTTTGTTCCTCCTAGGTTTTTACTGGGTTTTTTCCAGCTGCAATGTATAAGAGCAGTTGAGTGGATGCTTTGAATAAATGGTTGCCTGCAAATGCAGGACTCCTTCTAGTCCCTTGTTTCTATGCAACTAAACTCAATACTGTGGCAATTAGTTATTTTTAGCATAATTGGATCTACATGGACCTGGCTGCAGTATCACAGTCCAGTCAGTTTCTTACCTAGAAGTATCTGTATGCCTCCTCAAAATGTAAATTTTCGAAATGGAACTTTCTGCCATGGTGAAGAGAACGTAATGTGTACTGGAGGATTTGTTATTCCACCTAAAATGTTAAATAATATTTAGATCAAATTCAATATTTTACAAATAGAATACAATAGGGAAAAGAAAAAAAAAAAAATCAGCAGTATACTTACAGGAAAGGTAATTTAAATAATTGAGGCACGGATTCCTCACTAAAAAGGAAAACCAAAACAAGTTAGAAGATAACAAGTTTTGTGCAAATAAAACCTAGCTATAATGTGAAAATATATACCTTTGAGACACTTTGTAGAGGGAAATGCAGATTACTTGATGTACTGACTTTCCAATCACATCCTAGAGCATATAATCAAAACATTACAAAAATACTGAAAAAAATTACTCAGCTACTCACATATAGTTTCTTTTATTATATTCTTCTCTTATTATAAAAAGGAAAAAACCCAGCCCAACCTCTAGTGAGATGTCTATATTACAAAAGCCATTATCACGTGACATTCCTGGTTTAAATTTAAGTGTACAAAGTAATATATTGTTCCTCAGGAAACAAAATTAATTGAATTAAAAATGGTTGTTGATCATTTATGATGCTCAGGAGATGCAAAGAACATAATAGGCAGAGAGACTTAACTACCTTTTCTGAATGCACCAGGGCAGACTGAAACACTAGAGAGGGGAAAGCTGCAATACTGCCATTTGTGGCTGTTTTGTGACTAAAAAAGGGACCTCAGCCTATGAGGCTAACAGTGTCCAAAGGGCTTAATTCACTTTTGTGTAAATGATCAGAATACCAACTATGGCTGGCCTCAAAAGACGCTTAATACTCTTTTCAGATCAGGACTTACAGCTGGTTTTTGTAGACACTGATCAATGATCCCCTCCATTTGCCTTTTGACGAAATGAAGCGATTTCTGGGGATAATAGGGAAACAGCAATGGGCTTTCTGCAAAAAAATCAGTTAATATTAGTAAAAGACATGTTCTTCACAAAGCTACAATTATATGAGTTTCCATTCCAGTCAGAGTACAATGTGCTGGTATATGGAACAGAATCCAGAAATCAGAACTTGAACTCTCTTTGCAGATCTCTTCCATGTCAGTTAATTCAAACAAAAAATTAGGATGTATAATGTCATCAAGCACACTGCTAAACAACAACAACAACAAAGGTTTCTTGTCTCTCACAGTATCTATTGTCTGGATACATTGGAATAATTTTCAGCTTGGATTTCCTTGTTTTCAGTTACCTTATGCTGCAGGAAGATATATTTAAAATGCATTCATTCCTAATTTTTGACATACATCTTACTACTTAAGAGTTTTATATAGACAGATTTTTTCCAGTAAAACCTTGGATAAATGCATTCTATATACAATGACCCTGCTATTGCTTTGCCACATAAATAATTGATATAGTTGCCATAAAGATATTAGTAAATCATGAATGATCAGAAAGTGGTCTGAGGGACAGTCTCGCTTATAATGTGAAAATTAGAATCCCTAATTTTTACCACCAATATAGTTAGTAGCTGATGTTCATCATAATGCAGCTCTGCCTAATGTATATAATAACGAGGATGAAGTAAATTTGGCCTAGGTGAAATTACAATGAAGCAGGTACCACACTGACTGAAAAACTATACTGAAGAAGCAGTTATCAGCGGTTCACTGGAATAATCAAAGACACCAATACAAAATTAGGAATATCTCACTAAACAACCACGAGGCAGAAAATGACCTGGGGGTATAGCTGATAGTGTACAGAATATAAGCCAGGCATATAATACTGTTGCAAAGAAGATAAGCGTATCATTCAGAGATAATTAGTGAGATGATCTCCTGTGCCTTGCATATGATAATTACCCTCAGTGCTGATGAGACCTCAGTTAGAGTGCCACATCCAATTTGGGGTTTCGTACTTTACAAAAAGATGTAGAAGTGCTACCTAAAAAGTTTGTAAACTCCTCTTTAGTGAAGGATTACAAATAAGTCAAACAAATACTTGTCAGGAATGGCCTAGTTCAGGGGTGATTTCATCGAGCCCGCAGGTACCCACCAATGAATTATACTCGGCATGCTTCACTACCACCTTAATGCATGGGAGGGCCCCAGCCAGTACACACAGTTTCCATCAGGGCTGCTGCTTCCACTGCTGCAGCCACCAGGGGACCTATTCAGCTTCCCTGGCCTCCAGCATCTCCTCCTTGTGTCCCAGCTGCAGCACTTGCTTGGGGAAGCAGGTAAGGAAGCTACAGCTGGGCAGAAGTACAGAGGCCAATACCCGTGCCCAGCAGGGCAGCAGAAGCATGGAGCTCAGGTGGCCAGAATGTGGGTGTGGGGTTTTTGGGGTATGAGAGAGGGTGTGTGGGGAGGGAGGGAGTGGAGACCACCCCACACACCCTGCCCATGGTGCACAGGCCCTGCTATGGGTGGTGGGCCCTTGGGGTGCTCAAGGCCCATGCAGGCATGGCCACCCAGTGGCAAATGGCTCCAGCCAGTCCCAGGAGCTGCACATGCCAGAAAGGAGCAGGGCCATGCAAGCCCACCTTTATCACACAGCACTCACCTGCAGCTCCCAGGACTCTCATGCCACTGGGGTGAAGCCTCATGTAATGGAGCTGGCAGCATGGCCCCAACTCCTTGCCACCACATGCAGCTGCTATGACTCCACTGGGAAGCAGGGAGCAGGTCTGCCTACCACTTCCAAAATAATAACCTTCCAAATGAAATAACTGTCCACCCCTGGTCTAGTTGCACACAAATCCTACCTCAGAATAATTTGCCCTGCATCTTGAGGCATCTTCCAGACCTATATATTCATTCTTTTTAAGTATAGGAAAAGAAATGTTCTAATCCATAGAGAAAACATGAAGCACACTATGGCTTAGCTCAATCAAAGGTTTCTTGACAATGCTGTAGAACAGTTTATATAGTTGTTCTTGTATGGAAACAAATAAGCCTTTATATTTTTTCCTACACAGACAGAGATTCAAAAACTGACACTGCATGTACTCATGCTTATACAAGTGTGATTTTAATTTTGTCAAGTTTGCAAACATATCTCCGATTCACAGCATAGGAACAGAACACAATACCTTTGAGATGTGTGCTATTTTTAAGAAAGTTAAACCACTGGTTTCCCTTTGTGTTAGGTGGTGAAACTAGGTCATCATCTTCATCTTTTAAGTACTGGAATCAGAGAATAAATTCATACCAAGAAGTTATTATCAAGATAACTAGGATTTATTCCCTGGATAAACGTCAAAATATTTTCACTTAATTAGTTTTGATTTTTTTAATAAAAAATAATTCATATTTTATGCTCCCTTTGTACAATGTCTAGATAATAAAATTTCTTCTAAATTCTTAATCGGGTTACTGTTGGTTTCTCAACGTCATGCTATCCAAACAAGTGTAACAAATCAAATATGATTGTAAATCTGCTCTATGCATCTACAATTTAAAATTCTAATACTACTGGCTTCATGATCTAAAGGCACTGTACAAGCAGATTTCAATTATATTTGACCATTTTTAGTTATAAAATTATTCCTGCCCCCGCCAACCCCAGCTTTTCTAAAGTACCATGGAGATGAGGAAAATAAAAAAACCCAGTCTTTCCTATAAGAGGTAGATCAGTTTTTCTCTTTGCAGATAGATGCGCATGAAGGAAAATTAAAGCACAGCACATATAGTTTCAATAACCACATTCTCTTATGAGTAGATCCCATCTTTTCTTGTCCATCTATCCCAGCTTGTGTTTACTCATATCCTTTGTGTTTCTTGTCTCAGTATATAATCCACTATTTTACCTGGCCAACTCTCTCAACATTGAAGTATTTTCCTTTACGATTATAGAGCTCTGGTGCCTGAAACAAATGTAAAGCCGAATTTTAAAATGCAAAAGTACTGACTTGACAATACTGTAGTCCATGAAATTAAATTTTAAAAATCCATATTTCTCAATATGATAAATAATGCAACTAGTCTTTCCAATTCAGTTATCAGCAGGAAAAACTAAAATTAGGTTGCATGTATAAAAACTTTCAGTAAACTAATATAACTTACCTCATTGAAGTGTTCAGTAAGAAAATCAGCAACAAATGTTATGTCTTTCTGAGTCATCTAGAAGAAATAAAATGGGAAAAATTAGACTACAAAATAAATTCAATTCAAAACATATATAATGTGCTTCAGCGTGAGAGCAATGTAGTAATTTTGCCATCTGGTTATGAATATAGAGAAGCAACAATTTCACTTAAGAAAAACTGAATTCTAAAAACAGTTACACATTAGTAAAAGCTTGTGTGATCTTTTATGAAAGAAGGAATTTCACAGACAGACAAACTATTAATAGATGGTTATATTCAAAAGCCTGGAGCCAAAAGAATATTTTTTCCATCCATTTTCAGAATCACGGTGAATTATTTTAAAGGCACTTTAAAGTGAATTTCTGCCAATAAAGTTTTGACTGGACACCAGTCCACTGGGAATTGAACTGGCCATTGTAGATGTGGGCCAGCAGTAAACGACAGGGTAGGAACCTTGTTATACTTTTGATACAATTTCCCTGTCACATGGAGCTTTACTTCATTTACTGCCATTTTCTGGGTTGCAATAAATATTCTACTTCAGCCAAAAGAGAACATACCTTACAATAATATACTTTCCTTTAAAAGCATTTTGCACTAGGGGACTTGCTTGGGTAAAAATATGTTTGTATCTGGCATATAAGGATTATTTACACCTATTTTATTTATCTGTATCTATTTATACATATTTAAATCAGATATGAGGATTGCTTATGAAAGCTCATTACTCTCTGAACTATTAGGTATTATAAGGTGCCACCCTGCCTTACTTTCTGCCTTATTAAACCATGGGAGCCCCTTGTGTGAAATCCTGGCCCAGGCAAACACACTGGAGTGAAAATTTTATTTCTAGTTTTGTGGGGACAATGTGTACTAGCGACACAGGGCCTAGAAACCTCTTCAGAAAGGAATGGACAGGACCGACTGTGACAGTGCTTGTGGAGCTGCTAAAAGTGACCACTGAAAAGCATGACATCAGCTCATCACTGGAGGGAAGGAAGCAGGTTATTACTGGAGAGTGGAACACAAAGTACATTCATCCAAGCCACTGAAAGACTGTCTATATAACCACCCCACCCATACTGTCACCAGACTTTAGTTACTAAACTTCAGAAAGAGAAGTGAGAATTTTTTTAATTCATTAAATATAAGTCTGAACATATATATTACTGTGAAAATGAAGGTACTTTATACACTAATTATTCCAAAAGGACAGCAAGGACATGATTATTAAATCTAAATACTAAAAAACCCAAAACCCACCCATGGCTTATTTTTGTTCCTATTTGCATTGTAGAATGGACCACCAGCAGAATTAAACTGATACAGAAATATTATAAAAATAGCTGATAAAAAATGCTGCTACCACCTTGTTCAGCTCTGGAAGCACATGGTCTTCTGACATCCTCAACATAGCTGGAAGGAAAATTAACAGTTTAACAACAACAACAAAGAAGGAAAGAAAAAAAAATATTTTTCCATATTTCATTTGCCTATTGCAAAATAGCAAGACCTAGATGATAGAGTGGAATTTTCTCTCATCAGAGGCACTATGGACTGGAGCCCAGGACTTGGAAAGATTTCTGTTTTAGTCTTATTTCTGCCTCTCACTTAAAATTGACTGTGGGGAATGGGGGGACGACTCACTTTCCCTTTACATCTCTATTGTCCCTTCTATAAAATGAAATAAAAATTTCTCATACAAAGATGTCATGAAATGTAATGATGGTTTGTAAAAAAGTATACAACTAGTCTAAAAACAGAGGTTTAACATATATCATTAGCTCTTGTGGACCAAAATATGAAAATATTAGAACACTGCATAGAAATAATGTTGTTACTGGGAATTAGAGAGTAAGACTTATTTTAGTTTAGTAAATCTGTCCAAGCAACATTTAAATAATGTATTCATTATAAAGCTAATGACACAGTAATACAGGGAAATCAGATACCTTTCATTACATTTCTGTAAACTGAAAGTAGCAATTAATTTCTTTTTGTTAAATGCTATATTTTGCTAAATATCTGCATTTCTGATGCTTGCATAGTAAAACTGGTAAAATGTCTTGTTTTCCTAAATAATTAAGAAAACAATTATAAAAAGTAAACAATGTAAAATGATTACATTGATTTCATGACCAGTGCACCAAAAAATACACAAAAATAAACTCTTAACTCCTATTTCTTTATGTTGTATCTTGGACTTCCTAGCTATAAGTTTAGTTGGCAGTAACAAGGAACCCTCACCCTGTTACTGGCACAGGGCTACAAAGCCAGCAGAACTGGCAAAGGCCCTGTAAGAGAAGGGATTTGGAGCCTGGAACCACCCTGTATTCAGGATAGCTAGTAGGCTGGGCTGGCCAGAAGAGGCAGAGCTCAGGGGATAAATAGGCCTACCCTCCAGTTGGAGCAGCAGTGGAGCCTTGAGCAGAGAGGGCAGAAGGCTCCCTGCCAGAGGGAGAGAAAGTGCAAATGGACACTAAGCAGCCCCAGAAGGCAGACTGAGTTTTGCTGCTGTTTTCCTTTTGTGTTTCTCACTGAGTTAGGTAGAAGGTCCATGGAGCAAAGCCCGGAGTAAAGACTGTGTTTGTTACCCTGAAGCAGAGGAAGAACTTTCCATTGGGATTTTTTCCTTTTCGTTTTGTATTGGAGAGCCAGAGGACCAAGAGTGACTGAGAGGAGGTGGACATTGCTTGCAAGGCAAGGAGTCATATAACAAGAGAGAAAGTGCATGTGCAACTGCAAGCACTTGAAAGAAACAAGAGAAGAAGAGAGTGAGAGATTTAACTCCTCTCAGGCTGGGGAACCTGAGGGCCAGAGTCCTACTGTGGAGCCTAATTCCCAGCTGTGCTGCTGCTACCAGAGAGCTGAGGCTGGATTGAGTGGGTCCAGGGCTGAAGGGAGCAGCTAGAGCACATCAGGCCCCAGCTGAGAGGGTAGGGCCTGGGCAAGTGTGCAATGGGAGGCTAAGCCACACAAGGGAAACCCTGCCACTTCAAAGGCTCCAGATGCTTCCTGCTTAATTGATTCCATCAAGGCATGGCAGGCGAGATAGAGGGCAGTGGGTGGATCAGATTGGAGAAGCTAGAGAAAGGAAGGGAGCAGGCTAGTTAATTGCTGGGATATATGGCCTCCACTCCACAAGGCTAGGCCTACCACACAGTTCCAGACTATCGATGTATTAAAACCTTCTCCCTGAGAACTTGATATCATTGGAGAAAAGTAGGAATGACAGGATAAAAAATAGTTAGATTATATTCCAAATTTTTGGAAAGTTTGCAATAATAATTGTATCTATACATAACTTGAGACCAAAAATAGTTCAAGTATGAAATATCTATGGCAAAATATTGCACAGTAGGCTGTTTATTGCCTTCAGTATATGTATATATGCTTAAATTTATGTGCACATGCAGGAGACCACTAAAAAGTAGTAAAACTAAGCATGTGCTTAACTTAACTTTGACTAAAGCATTTGCAAAATCAGCCAAAGTAAAGCTGGGAAGGAAAAGAAAGTGTTTTAATAGCAGTATCACTGAAGTTCAGTATCATGCATTTAGCACAAAGACAGAAGATGAGACCTTCATGTAGATGGGCTAAGAACTGACACTCAGGAAGCAAATCATAGCCATAGGTATGTTGATAGCCCTTGCCACAAACATATAAGGAAAAACACAGTGACTACCTCCTTTTCTGAGTTTCCAGTGGTGGCAGTATAGAAAATCATAACTGCAATAATTACAAATATATTTAGTTAACCTACTTTTGCCAGCATGATAATAAGTAAACACAGTTCATTTCATTGTTGCATTCAGGAGTGTCAATCTCACTTAGCCTCAGGGGCCAGATGAATGGCACATGACTGGCCCCACAAGCCAGACTAGGCCCATGGATCACTGCTCTGTTAATGTGCATGGCACTCACTCCGGCTGGTCCAGGACTTCATCACACACAGCACCTGTGCAGGCCTGGTTGGGAGTACACATACCATACAACACCCACTCTGTCCAGCCTGGGACACGCACTGCATGAGGAACCTGCCCTGGAGCACCCATGGGGGAGACTGAATGCAGCACAGATTCCAAACCAGCTAGAGTAGGCACTGTGTGCAGCACAGGGCTCAAACTGGCCAGAGTAGGCCCCGCATGTGGTGTCTGGGTCAATTCAAGACCCAGAGGCAGCACCAGGGGCCAGAAAATGGGGCTCGGTGGGCTGGATCTATCTAGCCCCTGAGCTATATCTTCAACACGCGTCTTAATTTTAAAGAGCCCACTTCAAGAGACTTATCACATGGAGTAATTAAAATATGCTAAACTTCTAACTCATGAGCAAATATTTTGAGATGCTAGGACAACACCAAACCAAGTTATTTAAAAACAGATGCAAAACATTTAGCATATAATTAAGCTTACCTACATAAAGCCATCGGAAAAATGCTTTGAAATTTTTCATGCTACTGTCTATAACTCTGTATGAAAAAAAGATAAAAAATTAGTTCTAAACAAAGAGCACAAGCAACTGCAGAATGAGTAGATGTTTCAACTTCAGTGTAAGCAGGACTCGCACCATTGCTTAGCTGGGACCAGACACAGGGCAGCCATGCAGTGGTGTGACTGGGATAGCAGGGTACTTTATGGCTCTTCCCAAACAACAAGTGTGCAGCCATGCATGTCAGGCATAGCTGGATATGTATTAGGATGGGGCATAAAGTTTCTCCGATCCCAATGGTGCCATTATTTTAACATGTACCAGGGGTCTGAAAAACCAAGTCCTAAAAGTCATCTCCAGTGAAATATCTACATTTAATGGAAACAGTTGACTTTAATCCCTCTATGCTTGTTCCCCTTTGCAAAATAGTGATAAAACCACACAATACCACACACAGGGAGGGCAATGAAAAACATGATTAATACATATGAAACATCCTTAATATACATTGATAACCACCATACAAAAGATCACAAGAAAATAAGCCAGTTTTCACTAATTGCCTGATTAGTGTATACTAAGACTTAGGCCTCAGAAAATGCTGAATAAATTGTATTAACTGAGTACCATCCATCCTGTACAGTAAGTGAGGAAGGGGTCCTGTAGAAAAAACAGTATGCGATTATGTACAATGGCTGTCCAGGCCACCCAAGGTATTCACAACTGTACCATGTGCCCAGGCGAGCACCCGCTTCCACTGCTACATCACACTGGCATAACAGCACGATCCCTCCCCCTGCTACAACATGAACCCACATGGGCTTCTCCCAAACTTACTACACAAGCACAATCCCAACCCCCAGCACGCAACCCCAAACTCACCCTTTGCACCTTCAACTCCTGTACCACTCTGCCTCCTGAGGCAAAAGCAGGAAGTGGCAACCAGAGGAGGGAAGGAGAAACCTGGAGACTCTGGCTACTATTGTACCTTAAGTAATGAGGGGAACAACAACTGCACAAGAGCCAAGAGGCTGCACATTAACTCCTCCCAGGCTTCATGGAGCCCACAAGCTGCCAGTTGCGCAACCCTGACTGAAGTTACATACTGAATAAGAAGGGTGCTTTAGCAGCTACCGGAGTAAATTTTTCTAATAAATAATTACATTTTTAGGAAAAAAATCTTTATTCAATTCAATTGTGCAATACATTATGATTAAAAAAACAAACTGGCTTGCAACTTTCCAGCTTAATACTTACTGAAGAAGCTCATTTGCTTTTAGGATGAAAGAACCAACAGCAGTAATAGCACCTATAAAGAGAACAACTGTTACTTTCAGTTTTTAACACTAACATCAGTATGGCAAGTAGTGAGCTAATTATTATACCTTCAATTCCCGCTGCATCTAATCCAAGCGACTCATATTTTTGTTTCCATAATGCCATTCCTTTCAGTTCACTTAAATGATATAACAAGGCCTCTGAACCACTATTAATGTGAGAGAGAAAAGCATAAAATTTCAGTCTATTCTTTGCACATAGATTTTTTTTTTTTAAATCAACTGTATCTAACTCTTATCTGGCACCTCTCTCATTTGTGTACCTCAAGCACTCTATTATTATTCCCATTTTACAGAGAAAAAAAAACTTTTTTGAACTCTACATGTTATCCATATTTTGAATATAACCTCTGGCATTAACCTTAATTACAGCATACATTAATTTTTTCTCATTAGACAATCATATAAACCAAGTTTTTCTTCCTTCACAGTCTTCCAGAAAGTAAGTTTTACTTTGGAACACCAGTGAAATGAGTTTAATTTGCAAATGATCATAGAAACATAATGCTGGAAGGGACCTCAGTAGGTCATCTAGTCCAACTCCCTGCTCAAAGCAGGATTATCTCTATCCAAACCATCCCATGTAAGTGCCTGCTTACACTATTCCAAAAACTACACATATCAACCTGTCACACTGCGCAAAAACATGAGCACCCTGACTTGTCACAGATAAAGCAGAGAGAGATTAGCTGTCAGTGTCCCCCACCACTACAGAGGAAGGCAAAAACCCTAACACAAACCATACTAATCTGGCTATGGGGTATAATTCAGCCCTGATCCCAAATATGATCTGATCATGAGCTACTCCATGCTGCCCAGCCAGGCAGGCAACAATGATACTGCCAAGTGACTGAGCGGATCAAGTTACTACAGGGCTCTGGGTACAGCAGTGAGGGGGAGAGGGTTTCATGTGGTGTTCTCCTTGATCCTCCTAGGCAAGGGGAAGGGCCTGGGAAGGAGTTGATGCATCCTGCATATCAATACCTGGCCACGCAGATAGTGTTGCCAGCAGGACTTTGGCTTCTTCAATTACTGGATGTTGTTCCAAGGATTGCTAAGAAGAGATAGGATCCACATGATGGAGGAGAAAGAGCATCTTTGTAAACAGGCTCACTAAACTGGTGAGGAGGGCTTTAAAACTAGGTTCACCAGGGGATGGACACCAAAGCCCCGAGGTAAGTGCCAAATCAGGTGACCTGGAGGAAGCACAAGCAAGGGGACAACAGGGGACGCATTCTTATTCTTCCTGAGAAAGTAGGACAATTGGCTAGTTACCTCAGGTGTCTGTATACAAAATACAAAGAACCTGGGAAACTAACAGGAAGAATCGGAAGTCTTCACATAGTCACAGAACTACGATGAGACTTGGTAGGATAGCTCACGTGACTGGAGCACTGTCATGGATGGATATACTATTCAGGAAGGACAGGCAGGAGAAAAGAGGATGAGTTGTTCTTTATGCAAAAGAGCTGTATGATTGCTCAGAGCTTCAGTATAAAACTGAGACAGGCCTGTTCAAAGTGTCTAGGTTGGGGTCAGAGGGGACAGCAACAAGTGTGATGTGGATGTGGTGGGTCTATGCTATCGACCACCAGACCAGGAGGATGAGGTGGATGATGTTTTCTTCGAACAGCTAGCAAAAGTTTTCCCGTCAGAGGCCCTGTTTCTCATGGGGGACTTGAAAATCACCCTGACATCTGCTAGGAGGGCAATAAGGTAGTGCACAAGCAATCCTGAAGAAGGATGTTTGTGTCTGAAAACTTGCAAAGAACTTTTTTCCAACTATTCAGTTGGTCTAATAAAAGATATCATGTCTACCCAAAGAACCTTGCCAAGCAATCCAGGAAGTTTTTTGAATGCTAGGGACAACTTCCTGGTGCAAATGTTGGGGAGGCCAACTAGGGGCAGTGCTCTTCTTGACCTGCTGCTTACAACCAGAGAATAATTGGTGAGGAATGTAGTTCAAGTAGGACAAGCACAAAATCCTACTCTTGGGACAGAACAATCCCATTCACTGGTACAGACTAGGGACTGACTGGCTAAGCAGGAGCTCTGCAGGAAAGGACTTAGGAGGTTGCAGTGGACAATAAGCTATGATCCAAAAGCATGACCTTGTTGCAAAGAAGGCTAACAGCATACTGGGCTGCATTAGCAGGAATACTGCCAGACTGAAGGAAGTGAGTATTCCCCTCTATTCAGCACTGGTGAGGCCACATATAAAGTACTACATCCAGTTTCGGGCTCACCACTACAGAAAGGATATGGACCAATTGGAAGACTTCAGCGGAGGGCAACAAAAATGGTTAGGGGGCTGCGGAACATGACTTATGAGAGGCTGAGGGAACTGAACTTAGTTAGTCTGGGAAAGAGAAGACAGTGGGGGG